ACGTTTGTGCCCATTATACACAATTCTTTGGTTCTTTCCTGGTCTACAAATAGGGCGAACTGTCCCATCCACGAAGCCAAAGCAATTATTTAAAGGACATCCTTTCCTCGAAATGGAATTGGTGTATTCTTGCAGAGAAACGTTTGACAGAAATGGTTGAATCCAAGATCTTAGACAAAAGCCATGATTTTCGTAAATCCAGTCTAATACAGAGTTCGATAGCATACACAGTTCGGCACAGGCCGAGAAAATGTTGGAATCATGTCAAAATATCTCCACGGATACGCCAACCTCTTTAACAATATACATAGCCCCTTTAAACCACTGCATCGAGTCCCTTGGGAACACACAAAGTGATCAGGAAGGCGTAGATATTCGACTAACAGTGGAATATCTTCTTTTGCTAATCTGAAGTTTGATTCACATTCACACAAAGTTATGCTATCCAAAGAAAAAGAATCATATTCCCAGTAAACATACGAGGGATTTGTTGACTTATACTCGTTATATAAAACGAGGAACTCTTCGTCAGTCAAAAACCTATCTGCAAAAGCCAAATTTAAAGCTGTTCTAAGTTGTTCAAAAGACATTTTATATTTTACCGTCGTGAGCACCACACGTTTCTTAAAGTAAACAACGGTTAAATTTCGCGCGCACATTGACCGTACTCGCCTCAGTCTACCTATTACACGGCCACCGTAGCCGTTAATCGTAGCAGTTGCATCTTAAACTCTCTAATAAAATTCTACAACCGTTACGTTGATGACACGCTTCCTTTTGTCAAAACCTTCAATATTTCCGCTGTCTTATCAAAATTTAATAGTTTTGAGGCCAATCTCACATTCACAGTTGATACATTTCACAATGGCATAATTGATTTTCTAGATATAAAAATTTCGGTTCATGGAAATGACTTTTACCGAAAAGACACCCACACTGGTCAGTACTCAAATTTCTCTAGCTTCGACCTTTTCATCGAAAAATTGCTTGGGTAAAATCTCTTTACCACCGTGCCTTCAAAATTGGTAGCAATAAAACACATTTCAACAATAAAATTGAAATAATCAACTCTTACATGTTTTGGAACAGTTACCCTAACAGCGTTATAAACTTTGTACATACAATGATTCTATTCCCATTACAACCGCTCTTCTATAGATGATAACCTACCTAAAATCTGGGCTCGTATTCCTTATCTTGGCGTGCGTGGCAATTTCCTCTTAAAGTCCTGTTTTTAGGAAATACAAAGACATCTTTCTCAACCGGTGAAACCTGTGCCCATTAAAGTCCTGTGCCCATTAAAGTCCTGTGCACATTATTCCACGCCCCATGTGGAAATCAACTTGTATGTTGACAATGGTAAGCGTGTTAAAATAAAATTATCTACCTATCTATCTATCTATCTATCCTGTTTTAAGAAAATGCAAAGACATCTTTGTCAACCGGTGAAATTTGTTAATATTTATGACACAAAAAACTGTCCCATTTTGTCTCTAACAACGACAAACTTCCTTCACTTTCTCGCAGTAATCTTGTATACGAAATAACTCGCCCTAGCTGTGGTAAAACCTACAACGTCATGACACAAAGATGCCTGTCTGTACGGCTCAGAGAACATGCAACCAGACTCTCTTCTAGTGCAGTTGGCCAGCATTTCTCTGAGTGCGAAAACGCTCAATTCCTGGCTACTCTACAAAACCAGTTCTCACAACTCAATGATCTCCCTCCACCTCCCAGAACTCCCTCTACTATGGAAAACCTTGTATTCAACAACTATAAAATACATCACTCAACCAAATTTAACAACTACCACATTCTTGCTTTTCTTGAAACACGAAACACTTCTCATCAAACATAACAAAACTTTTCTCAACACGAGACTTAATGCTAGCAGAGAATTACAACTCTTCTCTTAAATTATAATACATTTATTTTACTAGTAGGGTCAGCAGTTTCAATTCATCCTTTTGAAATACTACACTTCTTCCAACTCTGCCTTTGTAAATATCACACTATTTAATTTCTATTGCTTACTTCCGTTTACTTATGTCATGCGTAGTAAACATATATGTGTATGTTTGGTTTGAAATATCATTCTGTCTGAGGATGACTTTGAAATAAAGTCGAAAATTTACAGTTCTCTTCACGTCTTGTTTTGATTTATATTTTGCAATCTTAAGATGCCTTGCTTCTTTGGAATTTGTTTTATATTACATATTTTTTGGTCATGGCTTTTTCAGTCAGCATGTGTTTTATTATGTACCAATTTTTTAAAGAGAAAAGTGACAACAATGTAAATATTGACTTTCCTAAAAGAATATGTGAACAAACAATATAAAAATATTTTTGTAAAGGCGCTGACCGAGGTCGGTCATATTTTTGACTCACACGTGACCCGCTCTCGACTAATCAAACAGTAGGAAAAATAAACTTTCAAAATTGGTAATATGAAATTATTATTCGCTTATGCAAATAACTCCTTTGTTGTTCACTCATCGATCACAGGAAAAAGTGAGCAGAGAAGAAAGAAAACTGTTTCCAATTTTAACACTAATGGGAAATGCATTCGCATAAAACAGTATTTTTTCACCTAATGAAACAAATCCGGGCGAGTTATAACAGTAAATAATACGCATTGTAAAGATTACTGTATTATAATAAACTAAATAGTAACAAACTTTCCCAGTAATTTTGTATATTTTAAGAGTGTGTTCCTCCCTCTTATCGTTTCTCCCTGATTAACATATCTCCTATTTACAATTTAAGATACAAAATAACGCGCGGAAGCAATAAAATTATTATTCGCTTATACAAATAACTCCTTTGTTGTTCACTCATCGATCACAGGAAATAGTGAGCAGAGAAGAAAGCGCCAATTTTCACACTAATGGGAAATGCATTCGCATAAAACAGCATTTTTTCACCTAATGAATTAAATCCGGGCAAGTTATAACAGTAAATGATACGCATTGTAAAGATTACTGTATTATATACGTTTTTGTGTGCAAAGTGTATACTTTTGTACATTTTCCTATAGGCAAAGGAAATGTGCAAAAGGAAAAGACATATTATTTATAGCGAGCAAAGAATTTCTTATGTTATATTTTTCCACAATGGAAAAATAGTTTTCCTAAATAGCCAAATGCTTAAGATCAGCTGTGTAGAAATGGCCAGTTGGTTAATGTCACAAATCACACCTCAAAACATTTTGCATTAAAGAAAATTTGGCATACTTATTCAAACTTCAACCATACTAATCACAATGCTAATTATATCACTTATAACTAATTATAAGTGTTTTGTTATTTTTTAAAATTGACTGATTTATGGAATTGATTGAAAGAAATCAAATATTATAAAACGAAATATACTTGTTTCGCGTGCTTTTTCAATAATGTTTTGGAAAAACTCGTGGAGTAATTAATCATAGCTGAAAGTCATATCTAATACAATATCCGTATTTTACCCTTTCTGGTAAAAACCTTCAAAACGCACGTTTTAAATGACATTAGCTCCTACGTCTTTCCGTCCGTCTGCGAATGTCATCCGTTCGTATTTTTTCATCCGCAGTTATTATCCGTCCGTCCGTATACGCGTTTTACCCTAACCCTCGCTTAGACCGCATTCTTTCACTAGTGTATATTTATACCTATGTGCACTCGGAACTACACTATCACCTACATGTCCTCAGTGGCGAAATAAACGTAAGTATAAGCACAAGATTATCCCAACTCTCCGTTATTCTTATGTTTATACCAATGTTTATGTCGCAAGTTAGGACCTGGAGTAAGTGCTGATAATTGAAATTCGTTTCGTGCTGTCGAGTTTATTTATTGTAATACCTATAGTAAGATGTTGTAATACCTTAAGACAATCTTACAATCTGTAAAATCGTCATGTTCGCTGAAATCATCTTGCAAAAACTGTTTAAATGCAAGTGTCTGTGTGAATGTATTAGCTATGTAAGTGAAAACATTTAGCACCTATGTATCGCTAAAACAATGTATATTAACGTCATATGCAATCACTTGGTTAAACGTGACCTTGTGCCTCAAAAAGCAGTGAAGTGTAGCAAATGACTACGTGTAAAACATTAGAAAAGTTGTCTTAAAGGTCATTACTGATTTGATATCATTAGGCTTCTGAAGAGCTGACGCTAAGAAGTTGACAAGTTTGCTAAAAGTCACAGGTAAGCTGGTTAATTTTAGTTATAAGATGCTTTCTTTTATACATCTACTGGTCGCACTTTGACAATTAACGTAAATTAACCAAAGTAAAGAACTACTGCCTTGCCACGTAGTAGGAGGTTTAATTTCAATACGTTTTGTCGTAGAACATTTCAAATAAAGATTTACAAAATGTCCGTAAAAGCGAGATGACGGTGAAATGGGAGTTTGTGTAAGAATGTAATTGAAAACGAATGAAAATCTTGGAAAATCCTGTTCACAAATTTGATTTGAATGAGTAAAGATTTTTAATAATTTAAATAAGCCAAGGTTTGAGCGGAAATTGTAACAAACTGCGTCGACATAAGCACAAGAATTAATTAAAAGAGCATAAACCGAAAAAAAATAAAAGTAAAACAATTCTGGAGCGAAACAAAAATTAAGAGAAATTCTGGCTGTTGAGGCGTGCTCTTGGGTAGACCAAATAATTTAAAGACAAAAATTTGCATAAGCAATCTCGTACAATGATTGCTTTGTATTCTTTTTCTGAGTGCCACTGACTTAAGATAATCTTACAATCTGTAAAATCGTCATGTTCGCTGAAATCATCTTGCAAAAACTGTTTAAATGCAAGTGTCTGTGTGAATGTATTAGCTATGTAAGTGAAAACATTCATCACCTATGTATCGCTGTAAAAATTTATATTAACGTCATATGCAACCAATTGGTTATACGTGACCTTGTGTCTCAAAAAGAAGTGAAGTGTAGCAAATCACTACGTGTAAAACATTAGAAAAGTTGTCTTAATGGCCATTACTGATTTGATATCATCAGGCTTCGGAAAAGCTAGCGATAAGAAGTTGACAAGTTTGCTAAAAAGTCAAAGGTAAGCTGTCTAATTTTTGTTATAAGATGCTTTCTTTTCTAAATCTAGTGGTCGTACTTGACAATTAACGTAAATCAACTAAAGTAAAGAACTACAGACTTGCCATAGTAGGAGGTTTAATATCAATACGTTTTGCCGTAGAACATTTCAAATTAAGATTTACAAAATATCCGTAAAAACGAGATGACGGTGAAATGGGAGTTTGTGTAAGAATGTAATGGAAAACGAATGAAAATGTTGGAAAATCATGTTAGCAAGTTTGATTTGACTGAGCAATGATTTTTAACAATTTAAATAAGCCAAGGTTTGAGGGGAAATTGTAACATCTGCGTCGACGTAAGCACAAGAAGTAATTAGAAGAGCATAAACCGAAAAAAATAAAACTAAAACAATTCTGAAGCGAAACAAAAATTAAGAGAAATTCTTGCTGTTGATGCGTGTTCTTGGGTAGATCAAATAATTTAACGACAAAAATTTGCATAAGCAATCTCGTACAATGATTGCTTTGTATTCTTCTTTTGTGCGCCACTGACTTAAGACAATCTTACAATCTGTAAAATCGTAATGTTCGCTGAAATCACGCGAAATCACTTAATGAAGCAGTATAGTTTGATTCAGTATTTACCCATTATCATCTCATTATTGAAGACAAGAAATGTTGTCTGAATTGTTCAATACCTACGATGTTTTGATTATTTGTACAATACCTTTATTAAATCGCATGCTATGTTTTAAGTATATAGTATTACTGATTTTACGTTTTACATACGTAAAAATACTATATAATATATCTAGGTAAAACTTTACACGTATTGCTTAAGAAGTACCAAGATAAATTAAAACATACGAGGCTACGAGTAGAAACAGCTGAGTATACTCACAAAATATCGCATTCAAATTGTGTTGTAAAATTAGATTTTTAAGTCAAAGAGTCAACAAAAGAATCGTTTATTACCTTCTGCTGCGAAGTATTAATAGCGCGTCATAAGGAATATCAAATTTCTTTCTTCGTCAATAAAATGCTATCTTTAATAGTTTCCACATTCACAAAACCTATTATTCTTTTTATTAAATAAAATTTTTACCTTAAAACTGATAATTCGCATTAGAAAGATGTTAGTTTCTGACTTCCAACCAAAAAATGAGAAGATCGTTTAAAATAAAAGAGTCTTTGTCATAAATATTGTGCTCTTTGGCGGAGGTCACAAGCATTGACTGCAAAAATTAAAGGAAAGGCCGACTCGCGGACATAAATATATATAAACGCCTTTTTTCACTTTTCCGGGCTAACATTTACTTTAATTGTATCCAGTCAATAACCAAGACTGCATTTAATAATGATGAAGTACTTAGTGGGTTTTACAAAGAGCTTTTCTTGAAATATTCCATATCCTCCAGGAAATTCACGTAATTCCAGTTATTATTTCAAATATAGGTGAAATTTCATTGAATTTGTTGCTGACGTATACAACAACGTAAACATTCTTGTTTTAGCAAAATGCCTGGTAGGTCGTAATTATAAAGTGTTATATATAGCTATGTCACATATCTCATTTAATTTCCGGTTCACTTTATGATTATAAATTGTAAATATTTAACAATAATATGAAATGAAAGTCGTGTTTCATAGGGCTTAATCTTGGATTTGAATTATTTGCCGAAAAGTTTGGAAAAAAAGAGCTCGAGAGGAGGATAAAAGATGAACACACGGTATATTTTTACCTTTTTTGAATTTTATGTGTAAAAATTGGCATACCACATTCCACAAGATAACTATGAAGAGACTTGTGTTAGCTGAAGTTTTTTTTTCTTGTATTGAAGTACTAAGATAGACACGTACCATTCTACTTCTATAACTTTATTTCTACTCCTATAAACAGTATAAAATACCGTTTGATCCTGGATTTCTTTGTAGTGTTTAAAACTGCACTAAAAATTCTCAAGCATCACGGGAAAAAAATTCCAGGTTGTCAGAAGCGTTTCCATCTGTAGCTAAAAGTTACTCTGCAAGTTTTGAGGAATTTAAATTTGCACTAAAAAAACTCAATGGGCTATTTTTCTCTGTTATGTAAAATGGTTTTTACGTCATACCCAGAACCTGTTTGATATAATTTCCACTTCTTTCTTTTAAGCCACCACGGAAATACCCAATATTTGGAGGACTTAAATTAGAGCTTCAAAAACAGAAGTTCGAAACTATGTTTACACTAGCGACAATGTTGGGTGGTTTTCGTAGAGCAACACACACAGTTGGAACTGGTGGTGTTGGCAAAATAAAGATTGTTGATGATCCGAAATTTCCAGAACATGAATTTTTTAAAGCTGGTGAGAACTAAATCACATTTTTTAAATACTTTTTTTACAATCTTTGGTTTTGGTTGCCTGTTAACTTAAAGTAAGATTCCGCACATTTATTTAAAAATCATGATAATTTGATGTGATTTCTTTATTTCGTAACAAATATATGTTTTATATGAGCAATCATGTACATTTTAAATCTGTTGGAGGTGCTCATATCATGTAATTGGGTAATAAGACTTTTGCATTCAATATCTTCAAAAGTATGTGTAGTTGTCTTTTTTTATTACACATCATTATTCTTAAAATTTTGTTATTTTCGCAACGACATTGAAGGGGTCCAATGGAGGGCTCTAAAAATTATGCTTTCTTTAATGGGGAAGATGTTCGATTTACGAGCACCCTTCTGTTGTAAGAAAGACGTAAGATGTCATGTGAAGAATTTAAATGCACTTTTGCATGAAAAGCTTTCATTGTCTACTGATATCAGAAAGATCATGAAAACCGTGCATTCACAATAATTAAAAACTAGAAATACGGTGCATTAAGTTCATACCATGGATTGAGGCAATTTATAGAAATAATTAACTAAATAATTTATAGAAGCTTCCAAAAGCATGTATAAGATATCGCTCACAAAAATAACGCAGTTTATTTTTTAAATTTTTCTTTTTTTAAATTTTATGCATGATGTGACATGGACCACAAGCAACTTTGCTCTTATACACATCACAGATAAAAGGAATGCATTGTAGCTATAACTACAGAGCCACGCAGATGAAGCAGAAACTACATATAGAACTAAAACTACATATGACTCATCAAAGACAATATTGTTTGTAAAAATTTTAAAGTTGATAAAACCATTTTTGAACAAATAGGTCGCCAATTCGATGCAAGGTTGCGACATGGAAATCTCAAATTCACTGATGATGCTGGAGCTGACGCCAGATCATTTTCAATAAAATTTGCGGACGCCGACGACAAAAGTCCTCTGGATATCGTCATGAATACAGGCGAGGCCAACATCTTTTGGGATGTCAGCAGTTTAGACGACTTTGTTCCAGTAAATGAAGGAGACACAGCAAAAGAATACGTTTACAAAAATCCTTACTAGTAAGCATTTGTATCACCAGATATGCAGCCGAAAACTTTAAAATAAATAAAGCTATGCAACTTCATTTAATATGGATATATCATTTACTTATAGATTATTTCATTTACTAGCCTGCTAGCAGTAGGATAGCCATCCTGAAGATTTACTCCAGCTATGTAAATTTTAAATATTTACCATCATTCATTTCTCTAGAAATATATTGTTCTCACAATATTAACTGTTAATACAAAAATATTTGCATAGCGAGAGTAAAGAGTCGGGCTAGCTACGCTACAGCCTGCAAGTAAAAACAACGATTATCTTTATATTTTTCTTTATTCTAATAAATTTTTCAAAATGAAACTAAAAATCTCCTGACACCATCCTAACTTTCACATTTTCATAAAGATCATGGTTCTTGCATAGTTTCTTATTTGTATAAAAACGTATTATGGACTATATTCACCATGCATAATTAAAACCTGAAATCTTGATCATTCGAAACATTGTCTGTTTTGCTAGTTACTACAATTTTGTGGAGGCACTACGTCGAGCACCTGACTCATTTGCTCATCTCTACTATTATTCTCAGTTAACCATGTATTTCAAAGCAAAAGATGGTAAAGTTCGATATTGCAGATATCGAGCAGTTCCAGGTGATATCAATATTAAGGAAGAAAATGAAAGCGGAAGATTGACTGCAGACGAACAAAGAAATATTTGGTTTGTGTATTTCTTTGGAAAGCATTTCCTATTTTAAGTCATACACATATGCTTTCTTCATAATACTGAACTGAAGAAAAGACGAACAATGTTGTTTGATTATTAAGTAAAGAATACATTAAATGAAACGTAAACTAAATAGTTATAAAATGTGCTCATGAGTTAACGACACCCATCTCTACTTGAATTAAATGATAGTTTCACAGTAATATACTTCTATAGCATGAGCTAACATGGTTTGGTCAGACTAAATCATAACAAGAACGTCAAATGTCTTTTTAGCAATACGAGTATGCGATTCAATCTAACAGTAGCTTCCAACACATTTGAATTATTTTGGCAGATATCAGGGTGATGCAGGCTTATAACTAATTGTGTTCATTGTAGTATAGTAGAATGTGGATTTGATATAGATTCATGGATAATAATAGAGATTATAGAATTAGAAATAGAAATTGAAAAAATAACTTCAAAATTATTTAATAAAATACACTCTCGTTTTTTTTAAGGATTTTTAGTCGTCACGAGAATGAGAAGCGACCAGATGATTACCTTCGTAAGGAATACGTTAAACGTCTGAAAAACAAACCGATTACTTATCACTTGCAAATCCAAATTCACGATAAATCCCCTGAAGACACAGCAACCATTTTTCACGCAGGGATCTTATGGGATAAGGACACACATCCATGGCTTGACTTAGCCACTGTCACCATAAAGACTCGTTTATCCCCAGATGTAATAGAACGGTTAGTTCGACAGCAGCAAGCTATAATTGTGAACATAATTTTTGTGCTGCAATTACCAAACTAGTCTCGATAAAGAGCGTTATGTGTGTGTATTGAATATTAATATCGATTGATTTAAGATCATTTATTCCTTCTAATTAAATATTAATGTTCTAAATTATATGTAATAAGATTAATTAACAAGCCTTTACAAACAATAATTTTCACTCATCATGTCAAAGCTATTGTATAAAAAGTTTTAAAAGATTTTGTTACTCTTCACTCTTCTGTGTATGATGAATGTAGCAAAGAAAACGTATTTAAGTCATTGATAGTGTGCAAAATACACTACTTTACGTGGCAAATAATTTTATTAATTCAATGTTTACATTTAGTACGACTTTCAATATCGTGCGTCAGCCGGAATCACTTGGATTGTTGGAAGCCGAGTCACCCGAAGATTATAACAGCATTGGTGAAATAAGAGTTAGAGTTTATGATCGTGTGCAAATGCTAAGAAAATTGAAGATAGGCTCAATTACTCCAGCTGATCAAAATGCTATTTACACAATTGAAATTAAAACGGGCAACAGAAAGAATGCTGGCACCGATGCCACCGTGTATATCAGACTAACAGGTACCAAAAAGGGTGTATGTTTACCATACGAGGATTTAGAATGGAGAAATCGTTACTGTTCATTTATACACATCATAACTTATAAAACTGTTTGTGCATTGTGCATGGCATACCATTAAATTAAGATTGTATCATATTTTTGTCATTAAGGTTTAAAAGGTCGCACAGAGTATTTGAAACTTGATAAATCATTTCACAATGATTTTAAACGTGGAAGTAAAGAGGTTTATAGAGTGGAAGCATTGAATGTTGGTGAAATTGAACTGGTTGAGCTTAATGCACGTCCGCTTGGATTACAGTTACAACTAAAGACCCAGACTGGTTTGTTGAAAAGGTATAATTTGATGGACCTCGTGATTAAAAATATTGACTCCATTGCAAATAAAAAATTTCCAAAAATATTTTCTCTAAGGTAACTGTCATGAGTTCAAGACATAGTGGTGTTTTTTCCTTCCCTTGTTACAGATGGGTAATCAATGAAATTGTTCTGCTGCCTGGAAAAGGTAATGCGTTATACATTTGTTATTTTGATCAGAGATATTTTTCTATATGATTGGTTTACTTTGATCTTAAGTGGATGGAAATCAGGGGATGTTTGTGATATGATTTCGATAGTTTAAATTACAAATAAGTCTTTACACTTATCAACAATTTACCTGAAGAAAAAAGTGCGTAAGATTCTGATATTCTTCTCATCTCAACACAGGCAGATACAGTTAAACCTAATATATTGATACAGAATACATTATTTCATGACAAATTGAAAAAACTTAAGCAAACTAATTAACTGTTACTAAAAGCAATAAAGTATTCATGTTTGTGGATGAAGATCGTCCAGGTTAGTAGAGTCTTGAGAAGGACTGTTGGTATTGATGTAGACTGACGTTTTGACATCCTTGGCCGGAGTCATCTTCAAAGTCACTGGCAAACATGTTACGATACTCCCGGGTTCAAACCATTTATTTTAGTATTCATTTTGTTATATAACATTGCTATTGGTAAGATTAATGTTGAAGTTTTTAAATGAATGTGGCTTTAAAATTACAAAACAATCAGCAGTTACAACATTTAAAACAATCAGTAAAGGCTTTCGTAAAATGTTGCCAGTTCAATAAAGAGTAAAAGTAAAATTTGAATTGTCAAATTTCTTGTTGCGTTTTATTCAAACATGAATGGTATAAAAGTATTCACATTATGAAAAATCTAATCCAAACATTTGTATACCGTGTAGCAACTTTACCATTCCATGATATGCCACCGGTAGTTGCCGAGCAACGCCAAAAGAACTAAAGCAAAGAAAAGAAATATATCAATGGGATTGGGTAACAGAGCACATGCCTGGGAGCATTAAAGCTGAAACTCATGCCGATCTTCCTAGAGATGTCCAGTTTACTGATGAAAATCAAGGTCAGAGCAGGGAATTATAAACTACGAATGCATTATTAAATTGGTGTTTTTGTATTTGTTTATGTGCATAAACATGTTAATTGTTGAACATTTTATTTAATGATAAATCTGTGCATTTTTTAAAAATAAGTCAAAATTCAACCACCGTAGAGTTAAATTTTTACAATGAAGTTATACAATGTGTTACTGACGCAACCCTTGCCATATTTATTTAAAAATTCGAAAGTAATGGTGTTACCTATATAATGTATCTGATGTTATGCTAATTATGTTAATAACTGTATTTACACCCTGAACTCTCAAAAAAAATTTTAATAGATGATGGTATGGATGTTTTGATGGAATATATTATCACAAAAGCAAATATTTTAATCCATGCTTATTCATGGTCTTTCATAACTCCAATATATATGACTAAATGTGTAATATTAATCTACAGCTGTGTTGTAAAATAAACTTTATATCGCACATCAGCAATATTATGTTGAAAAAATTCTATTTATATACTTACCAGATCCTATAAGAGGAGCAGATTGACTGCTTTAGCCAATTTGGGCCTCAGTAAATTTGCAACGCTATTTGAAGATTGGGACAATTTTGACGATTACAAAATTCTATATCACAAATGGCTACTAGGTGATCTTCCAGTTTATGAAAGCTACTGGGATCAAGATCGCTGGTTTGCCTACCAGTTCTTGAATAGTGCTAATCCAGTTAGTATCACACGATGTGACACTATACCAAAGAAATTCCCCGTAACTGACAATGATGTCAAGGCGTTTCTTGATAGAGGAAAGTCTTTGAAAAGAGAAATAAAGGTTAGCAAGTCATATATGTTGTACTTGTGATACTTTTACATAGAGAAGTGGTTTCAAATTCATGAATTACTCGACCTTTTTATATGTTGGTTACAGCACAATAAAAGATCTGAATACTTACTTTGAATCTACATTATGGCACTGTTGCTACATCACTATGGAAACTCCTTAGCTAATCTGGACTTTAAATTACAACCTTCTTACACAAAATGTGATATTTAAAGTTTATAATAACACTTTGCTGTACCACGATGCATAGTTTTCGAAACGGGGGCTATAAGAAAACATATTCTACAGACTTATGAAATCTTGCTAAGATAGAAAAATATGCTCAAAAAACATATTATGTCACGTTATAAACATTTGTCTTAAAAATATTTCGTCATGCTCTCAAGCAGCAAAACGAGACATCATTTCTCCATGCATGCCCCGATCGACAATATTTTTAAAGTTAAGTATACTTAACATCCCTAAAACGATTAGTTAACTGCTCACCCAGCTTACGTTTAAAAAGAAAAAAATGGGAGATATATCATTATATTTATAACCGTACATCCTTTGTCCCAAATGCAGGAGTCACCATTGCACTATGGTGATAGCCTTGAGGGCACATTGTATATACATTTTGTATATACTCAGAACTGTCATATTTTATTAATAAGTATAAAAATTTTGACTTATTTTATGTAGAAAGGCCATATTTATATTGTTGATTATGAAATTTTGGTTGGATGTAAAACATACGGTGGACCTGTTCTTGATGATTTTGGTTACCAAGCCCCTGATCATCTTAAACATGATAAAGCTGATGTAAGATACTGCGCAGCCCCAATTGCTCTATTCTATGTGAATAAACAAGGACATCTCATGCCAATAGCAATCCAAATTAATCAAGAGCCAGGTCCTGAGAACCCAATATGGACGCCACACGAACCAAACCCATATGATTGGATGCTAGCAAAACTTTGGCTTCGTGTTGCTGAATCTAATTTCCACCAGGTTTGTTTGTCTGAGTTTACACAGCAAACTACGGACTATTTTTTTCAGCTACATAATTCATCTGCACAAAGATGACTTGAACATTAAAGTGCATTCTTTCAAAGTTAAAAGACTTGTTAAATATTACACAAGCATTTTATGCAGATAATTGAAGTATTTAACGTCTTTTTTGTAGCTTTGTACGCATTTACTGCGCACTCACTTAACAACCGAACCATTTGCATTGTCAACATGGCGTAATCTTTCATCAGCTCATCCAATATTTAAGTTACTTCAACCTCACATCTATGGAGTGCTAGCAATTGATACTATTGGCAGGAAAGAGTTGATTGGTAAAGGAGGAATTGTTGATCTGTCTTTGTCACTGGGAGGTGGTGGTCACGTGACGTTCATGGAGAAATGCTTTAAGCAGGTTTGTTGCCTCTTTTACAAATATAACATCAATCAAATTTCAAATTAAAATTGTATTACGAAATCATTTGGCAAAACGTTTTCATACATTAAATTTCCTTTAAAAGACCACCACTTCATTTGCCTTTATTAGACCACATTTCAGGATTACAATTTACCAAAGAATCTAAAAAAACGTGGAGTTAATGATCCATCAAAACTTCCTGAGTATTATTATCGTGACGACGGACTCGCCCTGTGGGAAGCCATTGAAAAATTTGTAGGTGAAATAGTTGGTATTTTCTATAAAAGAGATGACGACGTCAAGAAAGATGATGAAATTCAGAATTGGATACTTGATGTTTATAAAAATGGCTGGCGTGAGACGCTTGGAAATCCAACCCACGACCTCCCGCCAAGTTTGAGTCTCGAGAGCAACTTGTAGAATTGTTGACTTGTTTGATATTTACGTTTTCTTGTCAACATGCAGCAGTAAACTTCAGTCAAAAGGATCATTATGGTTTCACACCTAATGCTCCTGCTATCATGCGTAAGCCACCGCCAAACAAGAAAGGAGAAGCAACATTAAAGTCCATTCTATCAACTCTTCCAAATAAATCTCAGGCAGTCAAGGCAATAGCGACAGTTTATATATTGACCAAATTTTCAAAAGACGAGGTATTGATTTGTTCCTTTGTTATTAATTAGTGACAATTATTTATATTCCTGTGATTGCTTCGTTCCGTCTAAGTAAGAGTCAAAGAATTTCTTGAAAGGAAAAGCACTATCACATTTACACAGTCAATCTAATGCATTTTTGTATTTCTAGTTACTCATGACCAAAAGTAATACTATTAATCATTGTCTTTTGAAAACCCGAGTTTATGCATTTAATTTAATATTAATTGGTATAGATTTTGTGTATAGAGTTATGTGTGTATGGCCTAGATAACAATACTATATTAAGACTCTAACTGGTAAACTAGCTCTTTAAAAATTAATTAATTAAGTATTTCTATATATTTTAGCGTTATTTAGGTAATTACAGCTGCACTGCTTGGGAGGATTTGGAAGCCCTTGGTGCCATATCACGCTTCCAAAATAATCTGGAGAATATTTCCGAGAAAATCAAAAGCGAAATAAAGATTTGGAAATTCCGTACATTTATCTTCTTCCTGAACGTGTTCCAAACGGAACAGCAATTTGAACTTCACTCAATTTTTGTCAAGTTTCTCATTTTCCACGTGACTGCTAGTAAACTTATCGATATTAGGCCTAATAATTTGAAGGAAACGTATAATGTAATTATTTTTATACATAATTATTTTGGTCCTCACTTGGACAGCTTAGATGATCTGACTGCACACCATAATTCTGGGTATAGTCATTGATTAGTTGATATAACTGCACAACACCTTGTGGTACAGTCATGGCAAAGTTGATATCACCGTACATCATTTTTGTGAAACAAATATGAATTAGTTGATATTAAAAAAGTTTCCTTATTAATTTTCTTTTAATTTCCTTCATTTTTTTGTTCTTTCCGTTTATGCATGTGCATATGTCGACTTGATGAGTTATGGAGTTTTTTATTAACGGCTTTTTTCTATATTGCTTGTATTTATTTCATCAGTGAGAATAAAGCCTTAAGACTGCAGTTTTTAAAAGTGGAATATTTTATTCTCAGGCCCAGTTCAAACGTCGCATTTTACATGCGCCGAATGAAATGCGAAAATTATGTGCATGTAAAATGCGACGTTTGAATCAATTAAATTCGACGGATTTTAATTTAATGCGACTTTAGTCGCATATTCGACTGAGTTAGTCGAATATTCGACGAAAATTCGATGTTGATTCAAACGTCGCATTTTACATGAGCCGAATTTAATGCATAATTTTTTTAAAGATATTTCTAAGCAAAAAGCAATTATTTCCATGCTAAATGCCATGCGCAAAGTTGTAAAAACATGGCGGCGGCGAGTGATGGTAATGGCCCTCGTATTTCGTGCACAAGTTTAACAAAATACACTTGTTTAAAGTGCAAAAATTTTTATGTACAAGGTGCTCTATTTTTGAAGACGACGAAGAGAGTGTTGGTTGGAAAGCAGAACGAGCGGTTTCTCGTTGCAATGCATGCTTTCGTGAAAAGATTGGGAGTGAGGAAGTCCATCAGTAAATTGGTAGGAGTACATATTTTCGGGCGAGCATACGTTCATTTCGACTGTCCTCTTGTGAGAGCACCGAAGGCGAAGTAGAATCGACCAAGGCCATTAAAACAATTGAATAAAAACTCTTGTAGTTATGATATTCTTTGCACGCTTGAAGACCACCGGAGGGCATTTTATAGGAATATGAAAACAATCCAAAGCATCCCAGATACAGGGAAATTGCAATAATTCTTCCATGTCCACGATTTTTTTCTTGAAATCAGTCTGACATTTCGGCATGTTTTTTGAAATGATTTCATTCCATAAGTATTCAACGCGAAGTTGACATACCTGCTGCACAATAGTGCTCACCGTTGATACCCCTCCTCCTGCCATTTCAGCGATAGTGTAGAAGTAATCTCCTCGTTCCAATCTGTAAAGGCATATACCAAGTCATTCCCCCGGAGAAATGGGTACCTCTGTGACAGTTTGCTTTTGAAGTATAGGTCGAATACGACTTAAAATAAAAAGAAAGTTTCCTCGAGATACACGAAATGTTTTTTTGAATCGAAGATCAGAAAAAATACTCCCAACTTTCTTCCACCAGCCGGAATTTCTACCTTGTCTTCGACATGATCGATAAGGAGGGCTACGTATGAAAGCATTTTTTTGACCAATTAACCGTAGAAAAACATGGGAAATTTGCAGAAGCTGCCGTCTCTTTTCCAATAGTTTATTTGCTGTAACATGCATCAATATTCGTCTTTTCCTATTAACACGAATTATATTTGAAATGCATAAACTCAACATTTTCCTGTTCGCCACTTTAGGAAGTTAGTACAAGAAAATGAATAAACTATGAAAAAGTGGAAGCATAACTATAAAAAGTGCGACTGTTAAATTCAACGTTTGAATCAAACTACGCATAAAACTATTTTAGTCGACTAAAACTCAGATTTGATTGGCGCATGTAAAATGCGACGTTTGAACCGGGCCTAAGGTCTGTTTCAAACGTCGTATCTCGCATGAGCCTAATGCAATTAAAACAAAAGATATTGAGGAATTTTATCTCATTTTCTATTGTTTTAAATGCATTCCGCGCGTGTAAAATTTGACGTTTGAAATGGGCCGAAGCTCAGAATACATTACAGAAGCTTTTGTAATAGCCACTCCCAATGCGTATCTAGGGCACGTAAAAATAAATTGCTACATCGCAGTTTTGAATAAATTCACATTTCTAAGCACCTTAGAGTCAAATAATTCAAACCCATTGTTATAATGTTGTGCTTTCAAAATGCACAACAATAGTATTATTCTAAAGACACTTTGAATTTAAAATTGGCAGCTATAGCTTTTTTCATGAACGCTAAGATCCGGTATAGTGGCCCACCAAGCGAAGAAATATTGGTTTTTAAAAGAAGTGAGTAAAAGTCTCTTTATCAAGATAAAATTTATGAAACAATCACGGCTTTTAAAGGACCGGTAATTTGCAGCAAATTTGATAGTCTGTTAGCCACATATCTAAACAATCTAATAGAAAGAACATTGACTTTGGGATGATAAAGACATAAACTTTATCTTTTTGGTGAAAAATGAAATATTATTATCATTACAGCAAATTACTTGAGTAAATATAACTTATCAAGCATTTGAAGCATTTTTGATATCTTAATTATATTGCATAAAAATTGCAAACAAACAAAAAAACATTTATATCTATAGCGTTGGTTCATCATCATATTGTTATTCCATTTGGAACACATTCTGGCAGAAGATAAGTGTAGGGAACTTCCAATGTTTTATTTCGTTTTTCAATCTTCTCAGAAATTCTTTTTAGGCTATCCTGAAATCGAGAAATCGCACTTCGTACATCTTGCTCGGTCCAGTGAGTGCCACGGTAGTCACCCAGACAATACTGCAAAAAATTCAAAAAACTTAATTTAATAAAATACCACTGAAATAAAATGTTACAATGTTATTGCTTAGCTGAGATAAATAGCTCATGTAAAAGCAACAACAACAAAAACAACCATCTGCATCCACTCGTCTGGTACATAAAACACGGCAATGAATTGCGTTTAAATTTTCTCATTCTAAAAGACTCTCACTTTTTCTATATCTTGGTCAGTAGAAATGATAAAACAAAGTCTTTCTTCATTATAATCAATAACCGAGTGCACTGCCTAAAACAAGTTTTTTGTAATACTTTAAGAAAAATTTCTTAGTACTCAAAGCAATAATTCAATTTGTGTTTTTACAAGAGAAATGCAAAAAAATTGCGAATATTCTTACTCAACGGAAAGAGTGGACTACACAATCACACGTTCATTTGAAATGAAAACGTCCCTTAAGCTTTCCTCAGTAAGCAATGTTGCTAGTATTGGTGTTCATCATACCTCATCTTTTGAAAAGTTTGAAATTACACTGATTGTTGATATTGCTTTAAATGCCTGCTCTTTGTTTGGAAGTGTTAACAAAATGGACAAATTTGATGCCTCTCCTTTTTTTGTTGGTGGTGGCTTGCGCATGATAGCCGGAGCGTTAGGTGTAAATCCATAATGATCCTTTTGACTGAGTTTTACTGCTGCATGTTGACAGGACCAAGTAAATATCAAAATAGTCAAGATTCTTACAAATTGTTCTCGAGATTCTAACTTGGATGGGAGGCCATGGTAGGCAGCTTTCTCCCTCCAGCCATTTTCATAAACGTCAAAGATCCAATTTTGAACTTCATCATCTTTCTTGACGTCTTCATCACTCCTATAAAAAATGCCAACCATCTCACTGACAAATTTTTGAATGGCTTCCCACAGGGCGAGTCCATCGTCACGATAATAATACTCTTGAAGTTTTGACGGATCATCAACTCCACGATTCTTCAAAGAGTTTGGGAAGTTGTAATCTTCAAAATTCATCTGTTTAATAAATCAATATGAAATAATTTAGCGGCTTTGAGAAATGGCAAAATGATTTACATATTTCCTTTTTTCATAAACGACGCGGTCTCGCATGCAGGGACGTAATGAAGTTTAGGTGCTTTAGAGGAGTCTGGGCGTAAAATTTTCTGATAAATTGGGCGTGGCATGGGCGTTATTTTGGTGTAGTTACTAATATAATACTGAAATTTGTTAAAAATTATCGATAGAGGAACATGAGAGGGGTCCGTTACTCCCTAGACCCTGCTAACTACGACACCCCTGCTCATATAACAAACAAACCTTTTTAAAACATTTCTCCATGAATTCCATATGACCACCACCACCAAGAGATAGGGTTTGGTCGACAACGCCACCTTCACCAAGTAGTTCTTTTCGACGTATTGTATTACATGCCAGCAAATCTTTGATATGTGGTAGAAGTAGCTTAAATATGGGGTGTGGGGATGCAAGATTGCGCCATGCCGATACTGCGAACGGTTCTGTGGCCAAGTTAGTGCAGAGTAAATGTGTACAAAGCTGAAAATAGAGTTATACACATACATGAATATTACGCCTTTTTGAAGTCAATACAGGAAAGCACGTCAACATTTGGGTCAAAGACCATTCAATAAAACGTAAATGCGTTGATTTGTGACAATTAGACAATAACTAGAACAAAAAGTTTATTCAATAAAGAAATTCGAATATTCTCAAGCATTCATTAACGTCTTTGGGAGTTCAATGCAAAAAATAAGCGTACAGTAGCGTGGACTTTCTATTCATGCGCACTTATTCATTTCTCATCAGCGCAAAACTGCGATCAATTAAATGAATATATTGTTTATTAGGATTTGTTTGCACGAACGTTCATTCAATAACGTCAATCAGCAGTCATTAAAATGGTTTTTATTATCAATAGGAGTTTAACTATAACATTGACGTCTTTGGTTCGTTCATTAAACACAAATAATTTTTCAATACAACATAACGTAAAATGAAAATCTACGTGAAAATGCTTTCTGTATACAATCCATTATCAATACACCAAGTGCTGAATACCGGTTATACAGAGGTTATATAAGAGAGTGATCACTGCGATGTAGCAGTTGGATCCTGATGAGGAAGTCATTTTCGTATTGGATGGTGAACCAGCACATAACTATTTCACCAATTCAAGGCTCTCATACTGAATTACAAAAACTACCAGCATACAGTCCATTCGTAAATATAGTGGAGCAAGCTATCAAATCCCTCAGAGAAGCAATACAAGTCAATTTTGCCAGACCTGAAATTTAGCTTTTTGTCAGCAATAGAGTGGGCAGCAAGGAGTCAAGGCTTACAATTATGAGAATTTATGACTCGCCTTCTCTTTTGAAGCACTCCACCGTAATATTAGCACGATAACTGCAGCCACGTGCATCCAATGCTACCGTTTCATGAAGACATACATACCACGATGCTTAAACGGCGAAAACATTCCCGTCCAAAAGAATTTAGGATCGTTTACAAGACATTTTGCGTTGTGTTGTATTGAAAAATTATTTGTGTTTAATGAACGAGCCAAAGACGTTAATGTTATTGTTAAAATCTTATTTACTCTAAACACGTTTTAGCAACTGCTCATCGACTTTATTGAATGAACGTCCTTACATACAAATCTAAGGAGCTGTTTACATGATCCCGATTATCCGGGATTCAGTGAGGCGTAAAATGGGATTCGAAGGATTGATAGGGGCAAAAATTCAAGGTTAAAAATTGGAGCTGTTTGTTAAATTCCGCAATTCATTCCTGTTGTAATTCTCAAATTAGGCCAAATTGATTGTTTTAATTTTAAATATTTTGCGTAGTTATTAAATCAGAATATTGTGAAATTGCTCGAGAAGATTTATCTGATGATAAGTATCGAATCGTTTCCATTCGCTAAAATCATTTAACGCTTGGCTGGATCCCGGGAAGCGTAGAACTTTTATAGCACTGCTTAAAATATATACAACAATGAGTGCATGACTAGTATCTGCAATGTACAACTGGGATTCTACCGAGCTGTGTGAAATATCATTTCAAAAATTTTGTCGTCTACTTTACTTAATTTTGCAATGTGTTGGCAGGTCCGTTTCAAACTATAGCAAGAATAACCTGGTCGTTTCATGGAAGGAATTTCATATTTGTCACAGGGGTAGTGCCAAAAACTTTAGAGGGCTGAGCTGTTAAGTAAGTGACGTAAGACAATGTAAGGGTCCAGAATTAGGCCGGTCTAATATAAAGAAGTGTATAAAGTTGAAATTATGCTTTGAAAAATTCAGTTCAACTGTACTACTGATTTATTTTTCTAATAATTGAGGAGGAAGTGAGAATTTTTCTTAGAGAGGTGAACAATATAATTAGGGGGGTGAAATTTGATGTTTCAAGTGGTGGGATTGCAACCCCTGCACCTCTATTAAGTCCGTCTCTGTATGCTCGATGTCCAATTCATCTTTGTACAGATAAATTATGTGGCTGAAAAAAGTTCGTGATTTGCTGTGTAAGCTCGGATAAACTAACCTGGTGAAAATTAGATTCAGCAACACGTAGCCAAAACTTTGCCAACATCCAATCATTTTGGTGTTCTTCGTGTGGTGTCCATATTGGGTTCGCAGGACCTGGCTCTTGATTAATTTGGATTGTTATTGGCATGAGATGTCCTTCTTTATTCACATAGAACAAAGCAAGAGGGGCTGCGCAGTATCTTACATCAGCTTTATCATGTTTAAGATGATCAGGAGCTTGGTAACCAAAATCATCAAGAACAAGTCCACCATATGTTTTACATCCAACCAAAATTTCATAATCAACAATATAAATATGGCCATCCTACGTAAAATAAGTCAAAATTTTCAAAGTTATTCATTTGAAATTTAAATTCCTAAAAAGATTAAACTAACATTACAAGAAAATATGAACGTCCTCTTTCTGAGATAATTTAAATGATATTATACAAATAAATATGATTATCAATACAAAACATTTGAGTCTAATTGATTGAGGGCAATTCTTGAGAACAGATGCATCATAACATGTACATCCAAAAAAAATTTCAAAGTTTACGATGTAAATGTGGCCATACCACGAATGACGAAACTTCGTTTTGATTGAGATTAAAAACCGTGGTGCTGGCAAGATTTCTTTGGAGGGGGGCAAAATCCCTAAGATGTCATTATAATTAGATGGCATATATTTCACGCATTGTTTGATATTACTGACATTGTTAAGCAACATATATGAACACCTTAATATGGGAAAAAATATACAATCTTCTTACGTTTATTTCTTTTTCCAAACTTTCTCCTCTGTCAAGGGACGCCTTCACTAAATCATGGGTTACTGGAAAATTTTCAGGAAGAGAGTTACAGCGAGTTATTGAAACTGGATTCACACCGTTTAAGAACTGGTAAGCAAACCAGCGATCTTGTTGCCAACGCTTTGCCATAGTTGGATGTGACGACCAGTGATCATGTAAAATGTGGTAGTCACTATAGCTATCCCAGTTTTCACAGTAGCTCAAGTTCACAGGGGTACCTTTTCCTCGTGCATGGTAGGATCTAGAAAAAAATGCAAGTAATATTTACTTCAATATAAATATACCAATTATACTCCTTCATAGTTTAAATCTACGTTACAAGGAGGCTAATGTCATAATACAAGCTATCCTTTTAATGAGTTAAGTATATATTCATGCACCACTGCAAAGATCGACAATTGGAATGTTTTTTTAATGGTCATAAGTACTTCGAAAAGTTTATGCAATGTACTTCGAATATTATGTGTCTCGATATTTTGGATTAATATTTGAACGGTCGACATTAACTTTTTTATGCATTAGATCTATTTTGGCGGTCTTCATGTTTATTTGGCACATTAAGGGAAATTTTCATATTTGCACGTGATACTTGGAGTTCATAAACATGCGAGCCTCTGGTAGATATCTTTGCATCTTTAACTTAATTGTGTTAAAACATGCCGAATTTTGCTTTGTGCTGTTGGTTACTTTTGCTGCAAATCAAATATAGAGAGAAGCAAATATTTCTTATTTTGTCGATAGATGCATAACAAAATAATTAAATAAGCATAAAGCTCGCCGTTTGAATTGACCACACACGTTGTGCCAACAATGTGATAAGTTCGACTTATTTGACCATAAGCTGCGTCAAACTTAATTTAATGATTAAGTTCGCTGTTTGAACTACAGTAGGCCTAGACGTAAACGTATACTACATAGTAAATATCAGTTCAAAATAGAAGCTAATCAAACCTTTTAGCATTTCCCCCATTAACAGTTCTCATAAAATTGTACAAGATCGTTTTGTGTGAAGACGTTTTTTCTCCAGTTCATTGTAGTCATGTTCTAGTTGCTTATAGTCATTGTTGTTCGGATTCTCAGCTTGACCTTTTTTGACCAGTTTCTCAATTCGTTTTAGCTCCTTCTCATACTCATGAAACATGTTTCTTGTTTTCTATGAAACAGGTATAGCAATGAAAATTATGCAAACGTCGTAAAAGACTGGAGAATGATTGAATGATGACATACATTATGAATATTTTGGAATCTAACAATAAAAACACTTTTATAATGTAAATGATAGATTGGCTATTTCATTGAACATTTTTGTCTTTCATCATTTTTCACAAAATTTTGCACACGTAACACGAAGAAACTTTTGCGTTTTATAATTATCTTTAGTGATCAGTTGAACAAAAAGATGAAACTAAATGTTAGCTACTCAAGATACACGAGACTCATTTAAAAAACGATTTCATCTATTCAATCCCTTCATTTCAAAATTAAAAGATGTGTACTGTCTTTGCATAGGCTTATGCAAACCGGGGAGACCTTTGGGAGAACTCAAGAAGTGATCAGTGCAATAAACTGCTTAATTGCATTAGAGCAAGTATACTTGAATTTTCCAGCTGCAGTTACAGTAATGGTTCCTGATGAAATGAAGAATTATTTAATAAAAATATAAAGATAGAGCGATAATAAAGCTTTTATTTCCTTCTTCCATTCCCTCCTCCTAATCTTAAATTCAAGTCCAAGTTTTAAACATTCGACAGCCGAAGTTCGAGAATCACAGATTTGGTTGGTCGAAATTGTTCCTCATGAACCATTTGTTATAATTTGACAGCGGATTGAATTGGCAGATTATTGTGTTTTCCCTACTTTGAAATAGGCGAAACGTGGAGAAAAACGAGAGCAAGTTCTTAGTTTGCAACCTCAGCGTTCATTTTCATAGGTTACTTTATATTCTAATAATATACATGAAAAAAATTTCTCAATTCTGATTGGTTAAGAGAGTGCAAGTTATCGTAAATACCAGTGCAAAATGTGAAACACAGTGCAAAATACAGTGCAATTTCTTTTGGAAAATGCGCTCCTGATTGGTTAGTCAAACAAAGAAATGATGTAAGAGCCAATGAAATTAAAACATTTCAAAAGCTGGAAAGTTAAATTATTGTAAACAAGCAATTACAACGGCTGGCGTAAGTTTTAAGTAAATTTTCTTTAGCGAAGCAGTTTACAGTTCACCGTTTGCAAGATGTTTTTGGATGAAAATAACAACACTGCTCAAAGTAGATACTTTGCTCAAGCTGCGTGTGCGGAAGCTATGGTGTTGTGAAAAGTAATATCCGACGGAATTGAAAAATACGTCAATTTTGATAGTTTTGAAAAACTTACTCGTGCATATTTTTCCCAATTGCACTCGAAACCATGCTATTACCTATACAAACGCATCAAACCAGATAAAAAAATTCAGCTAGCTCTTTCATCAGCACAGAACGTTTATCTAAGACAAACATTTATTTCGATGGTTGAATCACTCGTCGCAACAACATACGTCATGTCACATTGGAATTATATATTTCAAAAGTAAATATTTGTAATCATAACCTAAATTTGAGTAAATTTCTATTCGCATTTTTGTTCTGCAAGTTTGATGACAATATACCAAAGTGCTCAAGAGCGATTCGACTATTTGATGAAGGTAAAATATAATACAATTTTCATCCAGTAACATTTTGAATTCCTCGAAATTTATTTCCCAATAAAGTATTTAAGAGCAGATCCACGATTTCAGTCGTGGAGGGTGTGTGATTTGGAAATGTTGAAATACAATAAGCTATTAAATCCATCAATCTGTAGCCTGAAGGCTGCATCCTCTAACCCCCTCCTTTACTGGCTCCACCAATGTGGTATAAACTGTTTTTTCAATAGGCAGACTGGCGATTTAGTTCAGTATTAGTGAAAGGTGATAATGTATAAAAACGATCAGAAAATGCTTACCGCGGAATCCCAGTTGTTATCTTTAGCGTCATTTTCTATATTTTCGAACTTTTTTTCAAGACACATCATGTTATAGCGTATCACATCTAACGATTCTTTACTTTCAAAGTACAGGAAAAATTCCTCCACAATTTCTGTGACAATCGTAATTTCCTCATTGACGAAGCTTTCAACAGAATCTTTTAAGAGAAAAAGATGGCAACAAATGAGGCAAACAGCATCAACAAACGAATTCGCATTCTATTTAAATAATTTACTTACAAGAGTCTAGAGAATATTGCTCGTCCTTAAACTGTTTTGTTAACGCGTTGGAGCTTTCCTTAATGAACAGCAGAGGATTTGCACTCCCAACCATGGCTAATAAAACTGTAATAAAAAGAGACATATACGTCAAATACCGAGAATGTTTAATGCAATACTCGGAAATCTCTGAACGGCTGAAGAGGCTCATATTCAAATAAGGATGATATTCTGTAAGTTTCTTTCGAAATCAATTGTTTTTTACTTTTTTACTGACTATCATAAGAATGTGTCAATATGAAAATTATCGACCTTCGGAGGTCTTGCAACTGTTACAGTATAGGAAACAGACAGTAGGGCCACTCAAATGAATTTTTAGTGCCACGCATATCTCATTTTGCACGTGATCAACATAACGGCAGCCAGTCAATTGAATTTTCTGACCAATATAAGAACGCTGAGATGGTCAACCGCAGGCAGTAATCTAGTAAGATATACAGATGCCTACGTAGTAAAGTGGACATACTGTTTATTCTTTACACAGTAATATTGCAATATTGACTTCAAATTTTACACCAAGTATATTAGCGAATATTGATGTGTTCCAAAATTGTGCATGGCATTGCAACACATCAACTGACTTGGTTTGTTTTAACGGTCGTGGTCACAAGAATATTCTTTAACTCCAAAATAATTATTACTTTTTGACTGCATAAGACGAAGGAGAACAGTGTGTTTTGTTTACCCGAGACCCCGTTGTTTCCCGAGTTGAACAATACCTGCCGGTATAGCCATCTAGGGTCAACAAAACATATTGTTTCCCGAAGTTAAGTCCTACAATGCAAATTTTTCAGCAAAATTAGTATCCACTTTTTTAGAAAATTAATTCCATTTATTGTTTTTCCAATAATTTGCATTGCATTGCACATTAGTGAAAATTGGCTGGCTTTAACACTGTTCCCGAGATTTCAGTCAACGTGTGTTTTATCATGCACCAATTTTCAAAAAGAAAACTGACAATGTAAATATTGACTTTCCCAAAAGAATATATGAGCAAACAACATAAAAATATTTTTGTAAAGACGCTGACCGAGGTCGGTCATATTTTTGACTCACACGTGACCCGCTCTCGACTAATGAAACAGTAGGAAAAATAAACTTTCAAAAATGGTAATATGAAAAAAAACATTTGTTAAAGTTGTCCCAAACAATGCAATGGTGAATCTAACGTAAGTCAACAGATGAGTTTTTACAATTCTACATAAACTGCTAGTTTTTGGAGTGGTAAAAATACACTTTCTCAAAATTTCACAATCAGGCAACATTGTTTTGAATTTGCATATTTTGTACTTCCATGTTACTAGCAATAGTTCCTTCTTGACATAATGTGTCCAGGAAAATTAATCTTCAAGGAGATAAATTGTGGAAGGTAATTACAAATAATTTAACACGTGAAAAAAGCAGCTCTCAGGATCCTACTTAAGTTTTTCTTTAAAAATGTACTAAGAATTTTTTAGGATCTTGCTTACAATTTCAACCAGAGTTGGCTCAATTTACTATTACAATTAATACTTATAAGCAGTATAACTTGTGTCAACTAAATAATTGGTTTTTAACTCTTTAAACTTAAAATTAACTCTAAATGAGTGGAAAAAATTATTTAAATAGACCACATTAGGCTTTAACATAACTAAACAATCAAACATCAATACTTATAATCTTCCATAGAAACCAACCAATCAATACTTAAAATTGTTAAATTTGACAATGCCCCCACCCTCCCACTGTACATACACACTTGTGAGAAATATTACTAAAGTGGCCTGGTTTAAGATGAACCCCCTAGCATTTTAATCAAACCCAATTATTCAAACTGCAAAATAATTTACTAACTACTTAGACAAATATAAACATATAGGATGGAAATTAAATTTCAACGAAGACAAATGTATAATTTGAGATGTGGGGGAGACAAATGTGTGTATTTAAGATGTACATAATAGTGAAGTATATATTGTAAGTCAAAATTTCTTATAAAAGTTTAGTTATACAATTTGAAAACGCCTATCTTGATAAAAAAACTATTGGCTACAAATTTGTCTAGAACATAATTTTACTGAAGTATAATATGAAACATACTCTGAATAAAACGTTCTTGTTTAACTTAATAATTGAGAACAAGGCAATTTTTTATCTTACCAGTAATATGATTTCAAATTTATTGCAAATTCATCAGACCTATATGCAGTTGTTTCATACTATACTACATAAAATTGTTGGCTTTTAATGGATTTTGGTTTAATTCTATTGCTTCATTTGCCTCTGAGGTATATAGAATGGTAATGTATGTCGGTAAAGTAAATCCATACAAAATTGAGTTGCAATAATTTAGTGTGACGTAAATTACATACAACACTTGTGTGGGTGATCATAGCTAAACCCTGACAACTGAGCTTACCACCAGGCTTCACCATATTATTTTAAGTAGGTTAGCTGCTAAACAACAAACATGTACCACCACACTTGTGAAAAAATTCCATCAATACAAGTCTCATCATACCATTTTACTCAGGTTTATCTCTAGCTCTATAGCTACTCTATTTGTACTTCAAACTATTTGCAATTCAAAAATCACATTGAAATAAGACATTTTGTCCCTTTTCATATGCAAGCAATACCAATATATTGTAGTTAAGATTCTTGAAGCATTTCTTAAATTATAATTGACTTTGGACGCTAAGTCATGGACAGTTGAGAACTTTGTATCAACAGAAGGTCGTACGAATCTGATCAGTGGGAAGAAATAGCTTTGTGTCAATGTTCCTGATGCCAGAATCCTTATTCATACTGATTAATAAAACATCTTGTCGCCGGTGGCAGGCAAAATTAGCAATGTCTATCGTGTACCGTTTGTACAGAAGACAAGATGTTACATCTCATTCATTCTTTATCGCTCTTAGCTCTGTTCGTTGACGCGCTCTTTACACACATTTTTATTAAAGAAGATCATTTCAACACCAACTTACCTGAAAAGACAACGTAACGACCACTAAACTTCTCTTCTGACAAAAATAACATGAACGTGAAGCGAAATTGATTGTTATTCATGACATGCCACAGTTCATTGCAATTTTGTCATGTCGACCGGATGTTCTAATTTTTGAGTCCTTGAGAAGTTGACCTGGAGGAATTAGTGATGGATTGAATTTTACTTGACACCGTAATATTAATTTTTAACCACAGGTTCTTTCTCTGATCGTTTTTCTCCTTAGCTTTGGGAAATGTTTGAGAGAAGAAAAACTACTTTGACAAATTTAAATTAATAATGGCTTGTACGAACTGATCTCGAGAACATTCGATCGTTGTTTAGCATCTTTTATGCGTAAAATCGGTATTATCCTGTTGGAAACTTTTACTTTATATAAATTAAAGATATAATGGTTTGTCATTTCCGAAAATATTTTATTCTTTACAATTATTTTTGTCAAAAAAACTGAAAACAAAGTATTTAATTTACTTGACATATGTCGCAGAATTCACTGAGTTCGTCCAGAAAATTGATCTGCACTCTGATTCGGTTTGTTTTATGGAGTTTATTAGCAATGAACAATCTACACAATCTCTCCGACTATTACAATGAGTCTATTTATATGTTTACATTTCGTGACTTACGTGCACTACTACAACATGAATTAATTAAGAGAGAAAATACTTAGGAAGTGTTAAGTATATACACCCTAATTTTTAATTATAATTTTGGCACACATAAAACTCTGCATGGGAACTTATAAAATCTGGCATGCAATAAAAAAAATATAAATGAAATATCCTAAATTATGCAACAACATACAATTTAAATAGCTCAACACGCTAACATTGTTGGCAAAAAATTCATTATAGTCATGTAATATCTTCTATTTAGAGGCGTTAAAAATTGGCACTTTCAGCCAAACATTTTTTATTTGAAAGAAATATAAGCACCAAAACCAAATTGATAAGGACATCAATGTCTTGTGAAAGAAATGTTTTATGTAATAACATACGATGCCTTTAGCAGGAAAAGCTGCTTCATTATGTGTGTAAAGCGAGGTTTGATTAAGTGTTGCCTTTCAAAACAAAAGAATCGAAAAGTTGAGCATGTAGCATGCTGTTTCACCTATCATGAGAAATGTAGTGATTACAAACCTACTACCAACTACTTTTACAGCACTTCTGTGCAGATACAAGAACAATATCATTATTTGCATACATATACTGGTGCATATATTGTAACTGAATGTAACATATAATTGTGATTGAAAATTTTGCAAACATCAGCCATTTATTTTAATAATAATTAAATACCTGTAGGACAATAAATCTTATTGTAAAATCTGTTCACTCCATATACAATCCTTTCTGGACCAGAATCAATTTGTTGAACTTTCCTGAGATTTGTTTCCAAGATGATCCTCACAAATAGAAATAAATGTCATCATGCTTATATACTCCCAAACACCAGCTGCACCAACAGAAACGTGTTTTATGCTTCCATAAATTTGTCCACGAATAACCTTTGTTAATGCGGAAAACATTGCCATGACGGTTCACACCTCACTCACGCTCAGAGAGTCCGTGATCAATCTGTTTCAAGGAGCCTGCGTTCAAACGCCATTGTTCTGTTTGAAGATTATCAAAAATTAGAAAAAATGAGTATAGTATGATTAAATGCGCATGCATCTTGTTACTCGTTGTCGGCCAGTCTTTAGGGAGAACGTAAAAATGAATGCCCGTTAATCTGTAAGCTTTATACAGAATAAATACGTGCGAGAAGACTACTATTAATCCCTGTTTAGCATTTTAAATAGTGTCATTAGACGGTTTGATTTTAAACGGTGGATAGGCATAAATTAAGCGGTGGAAGGAGGTATATGGGCTTTGTAAAACGCGATATTTCAAACGTTTGAAATTTATGCATAAGATAAATCATGAGAAATCTTTTCATTTTTCATACGTAGCTAGAATGCATACAAAAACCGGTCATGTCTTTTTTTCACAACGCAAATATATACGTACATAGAAAAGATTAAGGAGGAAGTCCATTGGTCAAATAATATTACAAGAGGCACCCATAATATATTAAAATCGGGAAAATTCATGTATAAAATTTATTTTATATCTATAACTCTTTACTGCTAATCCTTTCGTAACATTTAAGTTTTTAAATATTCTTTAGAATTTGGCAAAAAACAGTGTTGTTGTTGTATTTTCAACTAAAAACACCTGCCATAATATATTATGAGATAACCTAGATGCTAGATCACCAATGTGAAAACAGTTTGCCGCTCACTGAAACAAAAGGGAGTAAAATCGATAATTTGAGACGTGCTCAAACATATTCTGGAAGGAGAAACAAACGCATTCAAGACTGACACTAGTGTTCTTCAAGGCGATCCCTTGGTGCCTTTTCTATTTATCATTGTTCTTGATTACGCACTCCGCACTTCCATCACCTGCAATGACAGACTCACACTCAAGCTGCGCCGAAGTAGCGGTTACCCAGCTGAAAAACTTGCCGATTTGGACTACGCTGATGATATTGCTCTTCTTGAAGATTGTATTGAAGCTGCTCAAGATCTCCTAAAGCGTGTAGAGAATGCCGGTCAAGAGGTTGGTCTGCACCTCAACGCTCCAAAGACTCAATACATGCATCTGAATCCATCATCTAACATTTCCCTGTTTTCATCAGATGGCTCAAAAATCAACTGTGTTGAAGACTTCAAGTACCTTGGCGGTTATTCAGATACTGAGCATGATATGTCTGTCAGAATAGCGTTGGCATGGAGTGCGCTGCATTCTCTTCAGGGAGTTTGGAAGTCTCCAATCAAGAAGTCAAAAAGACTAAAGTGTTCAAGGCTTGCATTGAAACCATCCTTCTCTACGTGTCAGATTCATGGACGCTAAATGTGAAACATAAAAAGCGTCTCGAAGGCACATACCCAAGAATGCTTAGACACGCCTATGACATAATTTGGAAAAGCCGTCCCACCAACAAATCTCTGTACGGTACGCTTACTCGTGTGTCTGAAACGGTTCGTCAGTGGCGTTTGACTCTTGCGGGCCATGTTAGTCGTCATGAAGAGCCCACTGGTAGGCTTCTGCTATGGACATTCTCAGCAAAAAGAAGAATTGGGCGCCCGTTTGTCACCCTCAAGAACATCATTGAGGATGAAACTGGCTTGTCTGGACAAGACCTGTTGACTGCAATAGCAGATCGCCAACGCTGGCACTTGGAATACGTTTATGTTTCACCTGAGCCATCTGGCATTGGATGACGCAAGGCAAGGAAAAATATTCGTAAATGTAAGAGATGCAGCAGTGTTAAGCTCCTTTGAAATACGTTTTTCTCAATGGATTACAACATACATAAATGAATATGAAACTCCCCTTTTAACTTACCAGTAAACTTAAAGATTTTGTCATTGCCATCAATTTCAAAATACATGATATAAGCTAGCTGACACATGAACCAACATGGGGGCTGCAATAGATCTCCAATAGGTTCCAGCAGGCTTAGAGGAGCTAATTCCTTCACGTACATAAAAATTTCTTTCTTTGCTCACCCAATAAACATCCTCACTGACTGTTGCCTTTAAATAAAAAGTTTGTAAACATTTAAATGTAAGTGAGCGGTGCTGTTTTTAAAAATAGGGCGATGTTTGGAGATTGCGCAGAAATACCCTTCTTACATTTTCAGAAAAGGAGCAGTGTCTCCTTATTTTGAATGGCAAAAACTGGCATTTAAAAAATATATACAAAATTTATTTTGTTTGGACATAACACATAAGTATCAGCAGCAGCTGAATGAGTTTTAGAGTTACGCCACTTAGGAAGTTGAATTCCAATATTTTCATTTTGTCCTTTCTCTTTAGTGAAATTCCTGCAATGAAACCAATAACCAGTTATGCCATTTATCAAACATTTAACTAGAATGAATTTAATGAAAATTTTCTTATTCACTCCATACAACGAGAGTAAATTGGTTTTGTTTCAATATTTGTTACAAGTATTGCAAATTCTCAAAAAAATATCACAATTATCAAAACACGCTAACCTCAGATAATTAATGATAAAATGACCGGATACAATAGAATCAAAAACACTGCTTCCATTGAATCCTTTAAGCAGATAAAGTTTGATGAAAAAGATTGGATATTAGATATGATAAATGGTATCTTCATTCAAAGAACAGTTAGACCATTTGGCCATACTGTATATTTTATTAGATCATTGGCTGCGCTTGGCTAGCTCATTGTTCCTAAACTTCCTATTGATCAGACAGAAAATACCATGGTATGGGTACCATGAATGCATATTCATAGATTCCATTGTGCCCAACTGATTTCTTTTGAAAGTGATTTGAATTTCAAAAGAGGTCAGTAGGGCACAACTGAATGTATTAATATACACACACACCCCAATTAACGTTCTAGTAATACCATGACCTCCATGGTATACCATTTTAAATACATACATGCCTGATAAAATAGGCGTTAAAAATATGGAAATGCTCCATGCTCTCAATACTGTGGGCAGCTTACTAAAAAAAGTAGTATCTGAGTAAGTACTTATCAGTGTATTGCTAATAAATGCTATTTGACATCATATCACTTTACTGATATCGCCATTAATGCTCAAAATATAAATAAACTATTACTGTCTACAATGCCTCACAGAAAGAGCATATTTTGTGAGCGACAGATATATTGCTGATGATATCCAGTATACTATTTGTGAGCTAAAAGATCTTTTGTGTTCTGGGTTCGGGTACTCTGTGTCAACAACAATCTAGGGATCCTATAAGGATAATGCAAAGTTTCGATTCAAAAAGCAAAAAACGCTCAACATGCCAAATGTATTAGCCTTGATACGATAAACTAATGAGAATAAATGAAGAACAGCAAAGTTAGTAAGAACCTTACGAAAGAAAAACACTTCTGGTGCAACACCAATATCATAGCTAAGTTTCGATCGACTGACCAATATCATAGCTTAGTTTTGATGAGCACCATCCTGTTCTTGGTCTTAAGTGAGATTGCTTTATAGTATGAAAAATAATAGAAATAGTAAAAAATCAAGATTAATCATAATCAAGATTATGTATAAT